TTTATTTTGAGTTGAAATATGACCCTTCCGTGAGAGTCACTCATCTGTGTGTGAGGTCAAAACAGAGGTGAAAACATCTGATGGTACAATTTGTGTGTGTGTTTTTTTTAAAGCCGAACTCTCGGCAAATCTAGAGGCCAACGTTGGGGGCATCCTGGAGAACGACCGTTTTTAAGAACACGTTTTACACGTTTCTTTCTCTAGAACTTTCTCTAGTGTACAGAATAAGCACCATAAAGTTTGAAACACAGTCTGTGTGCATTCTATTTGAGCTTTAATAATGATGCTCGGCTCTGCAAATGCAATAAATAATGCACGTATACTTTAAAGATTACATGCAGTAGCAATTATAATAATTTGGATATGATAGATTTATAAAATGCGGGTCTCGTTAGTTCAGATGTCCATTTGCAGAGCATGTGAGCATGTAAAGACCAGATGAGAAGGGAGGATGTTTTCTTTGATTGATGGTTTGAAACGCAGCCATCAATGTTTTCATTTTTTAAAGTGCACTTCTGTCCAAAACAACACAGTTGTTAGCGTCATATCATCTGCTGTGTGTTTGCATAAAGTGATTCTCATGAAACTTGTCAAACGTGCCCAGCTCATGTTTCACCTCAAAACTTTTTGCAGTATTTGTTGCACTGGTTTAAACAACAAGTATTGCAATGCAACGTCTTTTTCTGTATCGCAGAACAACCACCGGTTGTCTAGTTGTATCTAGTATCAATGTTTCTCTTTATTTTGAGTTGAAATATGACCCTTCCGTGAGAGTCACTCATCTGTGTGTGAGGTCAAAACAGAGGTGAAAACATCTGATGGTACAATCTGTGTTTTTTTAAAGCCGAACCCTCAGCAAATCTAGAGGCCAATGATGGGGGCATCCTGGAGAACGACCGTTTTTCAGTGGGGAGGTTTATCAAAAAGACATGTCTCGTGAGTGTGCGTTTGCGTGTGTGGTTCGCAGTAAATCAGGGGTATGTACTGTGGCTACCCTGCGTGGCCCATAACACCCTGGCCCCCCTCCAGAGCGCTGCGGTGTCATGACAGGAAGCGAGAGAGGAAAGCAGCGTGTGTCTGCTATGAATTAACCAGTGTAAATGTAAGACTCCCTCTGAGACTCCCTCCGCCGCGCATGAGGGCCGCAAAGCAGCTTTGCACGTTTTTATGCGTGTGTGTGAAAAGGTGCTACGGAAAAGTAAATTAGCAAATACGTTTAGACCTCTAATTTACATGACCGACAAACAGCGTTTCATTAATATGTGTGTGTTTTTGTACAGCAAACCAGCAGATGTGGCCAGCAAAGCGTGACTGTATTTCGAGCAACTTAGTGAGCATGAATATAAATATTTAATTTAATGAAATACACACTGTTGTGGTCAACAATGCATTTTATTTACATCAATAAAAACAGTTTTAAGTCACATTCATAAATCATTTTTCAACATCTTTTTTAAAATGACAGGCTTTTGAAAATTCGAATTAAGCATCGGATTTTAGCATTAAATCAATATTAAACATGGCATTTATCTTGCTTTTCCTTTGTTTATTTACTAAAAGCAATTGCTCTTTTAATGACCAGAAGTTTATTTATATATATGGGATAGATTTTTATTTTTTATTTTTTTTTAGAAACTGTCATTTTCAAAAGTAGCACATTTTAAAATAAATTTAAGCACACTATTTAAAGTCCTATAAAACTTTGCTGACACCATTTTTGTTCCTTTTGGCTCTTTTCCTTTGGTTACTTTTGATTTCAAAACATTTAGATGTAGTCATACATTCATCTACACTTGTATATAGTGAACTATATTTACTGTATATACTATATCTGAAGTTCAGTGTTGCTAAATATGAAGTACATACCTTATTCTGCATAGTGTAATATATCAGAGACAGTGGGTTTGAAAGCACACACACTAATTTATTCTTCATTAAATACGCTTCCTCTGGGTTTGGCAGAGATTTTATAATCAAATGGCTTCAGTGTTAACCCATAAGAGCAGTTTAAACTCAAGTCCTGTGATGGGTCGTTCTCGAAAGTTAGTTGGTGGATTAACATGGCAGCGATCAGGAAAACCTCCACTTTGGCAATCTGATCGCCGATGCATCGTCTCTTCCCGATAGAGAAGATCATAACGCTGTTGGTCAGGTCTTTATCCAGAGCTCCGGTCTCGTCTAGGAATCTCGACGGGTTGAAGATGTGAGGATCCTGCCACTTTTGAGGGTCGTGGTTGACGGACCATTGGTTGATGAACACCACGGTGTCTTTGGGGATGTGGAGACCTTCGATGGTGACGTCTGAGGTGGTGGAGTGCGGTATGGTGACGGGGACGAAGCTGGTGTAGCGCATGGTTTCGTAGATGAAGGCATCCAGGTAGGCCAGGTTGCTCTTGTCTTCTATTGATGGGAGTCTGTCACGACCTACTACTTTATCAATCTGCTCTTGGAGTTTGGTTTGGATTGATGGGTATTTGACCAGAAGAAGCAGCATCCAGTGCAAGGCAGTGGAGACGGTATCCAGACCTGCTCCAACGAGATCAGAAACCGTGCCTTCAGTATGAGCCTCGGTCAAGCCCGTCTCCATGTCTGCATGATCAATCACGCTAATAAAGGCATCACTCATGTCTCTTGTGACCTCAGGGTTGTAGCTTTGCCTGTGCTCCACCACTTTACCTTTGACAAACGTGAAGAAGTCCTTGTTGAGGTCTTTGAAGCTCTGAAAAACGCTCCTCACAGGATTGGGAAAAGATTGCAACCAAGGCATGACGTCCACCAAACTTCCAGCTCCTACGGTTTCGCCAAACTTGTTCACTTTGCTCAAGAGGGTCCTGAACTCTAAGTCATCGTGTCCGTAGCGTTTCCCAAAACAAAGTGCGCAGATGATGTTAGCAGCCGCGACTGTGAGTTCATGAGATGGATTGAAGTATTGGCTGTTTGAACTCAATCTCAGAAACGTTTCAATCAGTTCCTCGGCTTCAGCTGCGATGTGCTTCTCGAAGGACTTTTTCGTTTGGCTGTTCGCTGAAGAGAAGGCACGAATGGTGGACTGGGCAATCTTCCGGTGCATCTTCCATTGCTTACTGTAGTTGGTGAACGTCATGCTCGTCCCGCCGGAAACCGACTGGAAGGACACAAAGTTCGGTCTGCCTGCAAACTCGGTGCTGTGTTGAAGCAACGCCTTGCGTATGGCAGATTCTCCATTGAGAACCACTATGTCGCTGCTGCCCAGTCTAATTTGGTACACGTTTCCGTACCTCTTTGCTAACTTGGAGAAGGTGATGTGGGGCATTTGGCCGAGCTGCATGGCGTTACCCACAAGCGGCCAAGCGAAGGGCCCTGGAAGCCTCTTTTTGAGAGTGAGGTTCCTGACCCAGAAACAAGCCTCCAGACAGCAGAGGAAGATGAAAGATGCAACGAGGGCTGGCTGGATTTGTCCGCTCCATTCCTTAAGGATGCTACTGCCATTCATGCCGAACTCTGTGTCTGAAAGCGCCATGATATTCTGAAGCTCTAAAGGTTTGTTTTTGTATAAATTGCGACAGTATTAATAACTCCCCATCTTGAATGGTGAGAAAGGAAGAATTTGAGAACCCTGCTGTTTTCTTTCTGTTACAGGAAGACGGGTCAGGGTTTGCGGAGCTGCAGTGTCTGTCCAGAGATGACCAGATTAGAAGAATGCAGATTTCAGCCTTGACACTGTGTTATATATCTCGAGAGTAGGAGGAGTTTGGTCCACAGGTTCGTTTTCTTTCCCCCCCGACTCTCTCTGACTCTCCACCCATTACGGCCGGAAAGCAGACGCCTGGACACACATTGGACTCCCAACACGTTCTTGAGCCATCTACAGATGCATAGTGCTTTAGACAAGTGCAGTATGCATTAGATGTATTGCATGAGATAGCAAAATACCAAAGCAAGTGTCATTTATTTTAGAGAATTAAGAGCATTTTTGCAGTTCATTAACGTTTAAACTGTAAATAGATGCAATGTTGAACTGGAAGTCAGTCAGCATTGTATTTGTTTGCGGTTAGTGGATCTTAGTTGTTTCTCTACACCTATGGTTCCTCTGCTAAGACACCTGCGTGAACTTGAGGAGAAAGCTCATTGAGACTTCAAACATGATGAAGAAGAGTGAGCATGAGTGAGATGTTCCTCACTGAAGCATTTGAAATGCAGATACAGATGCATGCTTTTATAGTTTATATAATTCATTCAAATATTGTTTTACTGAGTTGTTTAAATGCATTTTCGTGGCACTATATCTGTATGTATGACAGAGTAAGAAAATAACATAGGCTAAATGGATGTGGGCCTTCATTTAATGATGGCTGTTGCTTTCTATATATTTTTAAGAGATTTTTTTTCTATTTGTCTGTCTTACCATAAAAGGCTGAAATGTCTGATTAAGATGAATGAAACCATAAAAATAAAAATGCTGTCGTTTTACTTTTTACAGAATACATTGTCTAACATATATGAGCTTTGTAAGTCTGCTCTAATTGGTGTGATTTCATTTTGTTTGGAATCCACAAAGTGATGCCAACTGAATGCTAGTGAAATCAAGTCACTTGAGGAATTCAGTCTGTAAACTCGTGAAAGGGTTTTTTTTTATCTGTCAGACAAAAAACAGATACAAACAATGGAGTTAAATATGTACCATGAGAGTGCATTTATCATGAGCTGTAGTTAGAATAATGACTGTTATATAAATTTAATAAGATAATTTGACTTTAAAGATGTGGCTTTACAGAAATATCTCAGAAACTGAATGCAAACAGAAATATTGGCCATAAAACTAACAATAAGGATATATAGAGACAATATAAGTGAAGACAGATGCAGACCATTCAGACAGTAAATTTGGATGCCAAGCTGGTTAAGTATTTTGACTTTCATATTTGATTGTATGTTTGTATGTATGTGTGTATGTGCATGTATTTTCTTACAAAATGTGAATCATGTTGAGGGTCAAAACAGAAACAGAAAGAGTGCATCTTCACAGGTTGTAAAACAGCACTTTATTTATTCCACTTGTAGCTTATTTTCCAATAGTACAAAGAAAACATTTAAAACAATACCTGAACATAAAAAAAAATCTAGTTTTTTTTTCTTTCAAAAAAGCTGTATTCCTGAATACATGCACTTCAGTTACAGAGCTTGCAAAACATTCAGTGTAAACATTTATCATAATAAATGCAATGTGATATAGGAGTACATCTTGAGTTAGTAGCTCTAATTTATGCTGCTGGTTTTATACATGATTTTGAGGATTTGTTTTGTGCATGTGGGAGAACCTTCAAATTGACATAATGAGGAAGCTGATAGTTCATCCAGCGTGATGCTTAAGACTTCATTGTGTGATTCGCTGAGCAATAGAACAGACTCAGCAAAGCATTGATTGCAAATTGGCATGTCACTAAAACTACTGTTATTTCAACAAATGACTCTTAAGAATCTCAAATTTATATGCATTTTATAAAGAATATAATTTATATAAACAGTTGTATAATGGGTATAAGTAAATGCTTAAATGCCTAATACTTAAAACACCTGAAGTACATAATCACATTGTTATACAGTTTTATGCAAGCATAATTAAATGCACTGCGATGCCAATCTGAGTCGAGCTCATAGGAAGTAAAAGTTCTCCAACAGCTGCTGCCCATTAACATGACTCAACACGATCTACAAACAATTGCATAATATTACATAATAACTGATATGTCTACAGTGATAGTGGCTTAGCATTGGACCATAAACTTTTCATATTGCAGTCCTTCTAACATTATTTTGAAGCATAGATGGCGTTTTATAAACATAAAGCAATTAAAACATTACTGTTAAGAGCTGAAGAATCTCTTCAGTTACCTGACAACATATTCTATGGATGTGAATCATTGCAAACGTGTATAAATATTAAATATACAATTACTAAACAGCATTCAGTGCAGCTTTACTAATACTCGTTATGTGGAATACATTTGTAATATGTTCAGTCTCTGCTGGCCTTTAGTCACAATAACAAGCTGGTTATTTATTTATACTCATGCCGGCGATACCAAGCCAAAAAGTTTTCCTCTGAGCTTCGCCGAGATCGTGTAATGGAGCGGCTTCAGTGTTAAACCATACGAGCAGTCCATGGAGAGATCCTGAGAGGGGTTGCTCTCAAACGAGCACTGGTGCAAAAGGATGGCAGAGAACAGAAAAACCTCCACTTTGGCAATCTGCTCACCGATGCATCGTCTCTTACCTGTCGAGAAGATCATCACGCTGTTAGTCAGGTCTTTATCTAGAGCTCCGGTCTCGTCTAGGAATCTCGACGGGTTGAAGATGTGAGGATCCTGCCACTTTTGAGGGTCGTGGTTGACGGACTCTGTGATGGGTCGTTCTCGAACGTTAGTTGGTGGATCAAAATGGCAGTGATCAGGAAAACCTCCACTTTGGCAATCTGATCGCCAATGCATCGTCTCTTCCCGATAGAGAAGATCATCACGCTGTTGGTCAGGTTTTTTCCCAGAGCTCCGTTCTCGTCCAGGAATCTCGACGGGTTGAAGATGTGAGGATCCTGCCACTTTTGAGGGTCGTGGTTGACGGACCATTGGTTGATGAACACCACGGTGTCTTTGGGGATGTGGAGACCTTCGATGGTGACGTCTGAGGTGGTGGAGTGCGGTATGGTGACGGGGACGAAGCTGGTGTAGCGCATGGTTTCGTAGATGAAGGCATCCAGGTAGGCCAGGTTGCTCTTGTCTTCTATTGATGGGAGTCTGTCACGACCTACTACTTTATCAATCTGCTCTTGGAGTTTGGTTTGGATTGATGGGTATTTGACTAAAAGCAGAAGTATCCATTGCATGACTGTTGACATCGTGTCTTGTCCTGCACCGATTAAATCAGTGACTGTAGACTCAACAAAGTCTTTAGTCAGCATGCTCTGTTTCCCGTGCTCAATTACACCAATGATTGCATCGCTCATGTCACGGGTGACTTCAGGGTCGTACGTGTCTCTATGCTGCACCACTTTGTCCTTCACATAAGCGAAGAACTCTTCATTAATGAGCTTGAAGTTTTGATAAACGCTTCGGACCGGATTCGGAAACGACTGCAGCCAAGGCATGACGTCCACCAGGCTTCCAGCGCCAACAGTTTCGCCAAACTTATCCACTCTTTTCAGGAGAGTCCTGAACTCGGGATCGTCGTGGCCGTAGCGTTTCCCAAAGCA